CCTTGCTGTAGGCTATAGATCCCATGAGGTTAAGGTACTTCTTGATACGTTCTGATACTTGTGGTAGAAATGGTAAAGTTACGATTGGTCGATGTAAGCAAGGCATCCTTAAGTTCGCGCTGGAGTGCAAAAGTTCCTCACCAACTATTCTCCTCTGGTATCCATTCTTCAGAAACATTGCAGGTTTGCTGAGCTTGTAAACGCATATTCTTCGCAACATTTCTTAGCAAACCGGAAGAAGCACATTACATTTGGCGCAGGTATCGATTGGAATGGGTTCGGTTCCGACAGACGGACGCCTCGAATTCAGGCAAAATTGTACTCTTCATCAGCACGTCCAGAAAAGATATCTATTGGTTAAAACCAGCTTCAGTTTCGAGACGTGTTCTGCCGTTAGCACGAATGTTCCTGTAATCATCAAGCTTCCCGATCCTTCTACTTCGTCCTCATTTCGTTGTAATAACAGGAAAATGTCGCCCGCCAATCGAACCACTGCCGTAATTCTGGAGGGAATTCAATAAAACAACAGTTGCTGGGGAACCCCTCGAAACGCCATCTATCTGGTGATAAATACTGTTTGTGAATTAGAAACTGAAAAACTTTTAAGACTTGAAATTTATGAATTTGGGCCATTCATCACAGATCCAAAGATTGTCATTAATTCCTTGGCGTTGCAGTTTCCCTACGGCAGCAGAGGAGGCAGTGTCCAAAAGTGCCTTCCAAACTATCGACTAATAATAATGTCATCAATATCAATAGTAAGCCTCTGCGGTGTATCTGAAATACTTGAATTCTGCTGATGATTCTTGTGCTTGAAGGTGAAACAGAATTGCACTGAAATTCAGCTATGGCTGTTTATGAGTTTCTGCAAGTATCAGTGACATATAATGCGGAATGATAGCTTTTTATACATTCCATATCGCAGGCCATTTGGCCAGCGTTGACCATAATGCAGTGATCATTACCCTGGCTGACAGCGATACCGAATACGACACCGATTCACGTCACACGATACCCTGGTGTAGTCTGCAAAACGGAGATTTTGTTAGGGCAGAACATGCAGGTTCACTAAAATGCTTTTTTCTGGCTATATGTTCAATTAAAGCCGATGAATCGTTAATCACGGGACGAAGCATGGATACGAATTGAACCGCATTCTTGATGCAGTGTGATGTTTCTACGAAAACCTCGGTTGAAGATCTACCAAAGGTGATGCAGGATTCCGTTCATTCAACGAAAATCACGTTCAAACGCCACCTCGTTTTTGGTTTGGCTGTCGAAATGACCCTCATTGTGTAAACGTGTGAGAAAAACCGCCGTCAAAATATCCGCCATCAGTCCTTGATGTTCACGTTTTCCACACACAGCTTGACAGGCACGGATATCTTTTCAATTCAAGGGAAAAAAGTAGTCACAAGACTGAAAATGTACCGAGATGTAAACAGTGGAACATACCACAGACAAATGCACCATCTGTGCCCCATGGAGAAAAACAGTATCCATTTTGACACTTGAGATGAAACGAAGCAGATACGACAGCAACAACTTTAGATAAAAAATGTTTGGAAAATTACTGTTCCATTCGAAACATGACGCATTCAAGATATGCATAAACAGATCCGAAAACAATCAACAACAAGTATTATGGAGTCGATGGACGAATTATGGTCTTCGCTTCACACAGTAGTTCAAAGCCCGCCTTTTCCCTCTCTGTCCAACCATACTTGTGCTGGTTTTCCCTATTTCCAAATTATTGTTTCTCTTACTGGTCTTGTTGGCCCTTCAGTTTCGTCTACTCGGTCATACATGTCCTTTGTCCACTCGACCTTTCTGTTGCCGGTCATTGTGGTTTCATCGTTTTGGATGTCAACCTTTTGTCTCTCATTGTTTCAATGGTCCGCTCACTGACCCATTTCACTCTTAGATCGGACAGGATAGAAAAGTGTCAAATATTCAGTCGGTGGTCGTACCATAAATGACCACGATTTACTCCACGGAAACAGGCCCATTTGCTGCTGTCGTTAGCACACCACGATGGTGGACCGAATGTTGAATCGTGAGCGGCGGAGGCAGTGCTTCCAGCTGGTCATTGCTGGCAGTGCGGTTAGCGGAGTTCTCGTCTTTCTACTCACCGTCGTTTTTCTTTCCTGTTGCTTTGTTCACTTATGGCTCTCGGCTACATACGCCGTTCGCGAACTCAACTTTTGCCATGTGAGTATACACGTTGCCTTCGAACAGACGAACATAACTGATGTCTAGGAAGAAGCGGAAAAAGTGGCGTTTTGGTTTCGCAGGTCGATTCAGCAGAAACGTGTCACGTTTGGTCCCCCTGGCCGTCATCTGTCCAGTGCTCGTCGTCAGGCGCGATATTCGACTTTAACAATGGAACCAAACGTCGAGCAGTTCAGTCTAGTTACAAGTTTGCCTTGTCCTCGTAAGCGACGGCATACAGCTGCGTTTGAATGGAAAACAGTTACGATTTCTTTCAGCATGCTGCATTCCGGGAGAAAGAGGCCCACCCGGTGAACCTGGGCTGCCTGCTCATCATGGTACTTCTGGAAGTGAAGGGTCTCTTGGCCGTCCGGGAATTGCACTAAATATTTCTTGCATTCCTGAGCGTATTTACGAAGCACCGCCTTGCTTACCGTGCGCTCAAGGACCTAGAGGCCCTCCGGGACAGCCGGGCTATCCAGGAGATCTTGGAGATCAAGGAATTCCAGGAAGGCCAGGTAAATACGTACCATTCAATTTCGATATTTTATTTCCTCACGTTTAAGGTAATCAGGGACCACCTGGCTCTGC